TCATTAACTTTACTTTTGCCTCAATAATCTCCTAATTTTGCCAATATGCTAGTAGTATGCATGCTAATAAGCAACGAATTAATAGTGAGATCTGGTACCTAAACTAAAGTGTTACTTTTTTCAATTTTATATATATATATATATATATATATATACAGTATATATAAACACTACAAGTGCACATTCAATACAAAAAGCACACTTCTGAATCCAATTGACCTGTTGATTTCAAATTGGCACGTCTATCCATATCTTCCAAGTGAATCTTGAGCATTATTATCCATTCTTTGCTTGGTCAGAGCTTCCACTCGTGTTCAGGCGGCTTCAAGGAAAACACTGCCATCAGACAGACTCTGGTCCATGAAGCTCTCAGACACAGAAAGACACTCAGATGGAAAGTCAATTATGGCACGCAGCATCAGGTCTTTGCTGTAGATTTGATCTGCTTTAGGGTCCTTTAGGTTACTGTGTGGTCTGTTTGTTTATGATGTGCCCATGTGCATAAGGTGACCCTCTTTTTGGGCTGATAATTGAAATAACATCACTGGACGTCTTTGTCAGCCGATTAACATCCGCTCGTCCTGGCCTCTGTGACCCTGAAGGCCCCTGGCCCCGGTGGGTGTCCCCTTAACGGGCCCCTTGTGCATCTTGTCTCCTCGCTTCAAGGATGGAAATTAGTAGACTGAGTGTTTCCTTCGTTCTTTCGCTCGTTTTACACAGACGCAAGAGCACACAGTCTGTTCTTTGATCTCCACGGCCATAATATCACTGGAATGAGGCAAATATTGACTCCATCTGACCCAAACCAATCATTCTGTCTCAGTCTCTCTCTCGCTCACTTTTTCTGTTTGCTGAATGTAGATGTTTTACTGCAGAGTTTTTTCAGTCGGCATGTTTCTTTTCTTCTCTCTTTTTACCTTATTTCCTCCCTTGAGTCCTTTTTTTTTTGCCAGTGCCCTAAACTTAACACACTTTATTCTCTCTGCTATTCCCTTTACTAGGATGAGCTGTTAATATTGTTCACGCTAATGTGAGAAAATTAAAACTTGGCATGTATCTCACATATGCCACCAAATAAAAATAGCCAATCCCTTGTTAAAAAATAAGTCTGCTTAATTGCAATGAAAATTAAAAGTTTCACTACAAAGTACAGTTTTAATTAGTGCTGTCAAATGATTAATCGCATCCAAAATAAAAGTTTTTGTTTACATAATATATGTGTATACTGTGTATATTTATTATGTATATATTTAAGAAAAATATGTTATGTTTATATATTAAAGATATTTATATATAATATAAATGTATATACATGTAAATATTTTCAAAATATATACTGTATGTGTATTTATATATACATAATAAATATGCACGGTACATATATTATGTAAACAAAAACTTTTATTTTGGATGTGATTAATCGCGATTAATTGTTTGACAGCACTAGTTTTAATCATCTTTTTGTCATGAACTACACTTAATTTGATGTGTTTACTAACATACTACTTGATTATAATTTTAACTCTAGTATGTTATTTGATATTACATTCAAAGTCAATATATTGTAAATGTATTAAATTGCAACTTCATTACAAATGTGTAATTACAAATATATTTAAATACATGACATGCAAGTTTCAACAGAAATTACAATAAAGTGTATTTTAGTGTATCATAAATGCTTGTCAGTGCATTCAGGAGAAACACTTTAACCATATTTCAAAGACAATAGAATTATGAAATTACATATAAATATGTACTTGTGTCTTACTTAAATGGTACAAAAAGCACTCTAAAGTTCATCTAATTGCATTTAATATAATTTCAACTATAGTACATTTTCATTTAATTTATGGAATATTACATTCAGTTTGCACTCTACATATTATTTTGTTCTATTTAATAAAAACTCTTTTTAAAAGTATGCTAAAGAGTACTTATTTTTCATATAGAATAGTCTTTAACATGATTTACTACTTGCTACTGCAGTGTGCATGTGCTGTAAGTTAATATAGTCAACATATACGAAGGTCATACAACATATAACGCTCCAATTCTGGTTTCATGTTTAGAAAGCAAATATTTCAGATGTTTTGTTGCTGTAACATGAGGAGGGGTTAATGTCACAGATGAACTCTCTGAAGGATGAGACGGGTCAGTCGGAGGCTGTTTTAGGGTCACGTAAGGGTCTACGGTGAGACTAAATGAATTTCGGATTAAGTTACAGATACTGACACACGAGTGCATGCAAAAACACTGATAATGCATGTTGGAACATCAGCCGGTCCACAGCACAGTCAATACATTATTGTCAATAAATGCTCTTACTCTACTTGTTTCTTTGTAAGTACAATACTGTTCAGAACTTTGGGGTCAGGTATAGGTTTTTTTTTTCCCAGCAAGGACAAATTAAATCGAAGTGTCAAAGATAACTTTAATCTACAAACGATTTCGATTTATTATAAACGCTGTTCTTTTGAACTTTTTTATTAATCAAAGAATCCTGAAAAATAAAATGCATCACGGTTTCCACAAAAATATTGTGCAGCACAACTGTTTTCAACATTGACAATAATCAGAAATGTTTCTCGAGCAGCAGATCAGCATATTAGAATGATTTCTGAAGATCATGTGACACTGAAGACTGGAGTAATGATGCTGAAAATACAGCTTTGATCACAGAAATCAATTACAGTTTAACATATACTCACAAAACAGTTATTTTAAACTGTAATAATATTATTGTTTTTATTTGACTGTATTATTTTCTAGACTTTTAAGATCTTTGGCATAATATTTGAACATGCATTTTGTTCAGCTTTCAACTTCTGTGTATCTCATTAATCATTTTGTTCCTAGCTACTTTCCTCTCTGCTTTACTTAGATTTGCCGTTACATCCAGAAGTTATATTTTCATCCAAGCTAGGTCGGAAAACACCCACAGAAACAGGCATGAACTTTATCCAGTATAAGCACTGAAGCGCAGCCGTCACCCAACATTTCTCTCAGTGTGATTACAATATGCTATCTTGTTTGTTAGATACACGTTATCTTCGTTCTGCTATATTGGCATGATTACAGGCTTTGAACGTAGTTTCCTTTCACCTCTCACAGCACTTTGTTCATGCGGCGCGTCCTCACAGATGAAATCATGCAGTGGCCCTCGATTCAGTGATTCATGAATACATATATACAGTTTTCCTCTGATCTCATTTGCTCATGTGGCTCTCATGCGGGATTCATCAGTATCTTGACATGCTTGACAGGCCTTGTTCTCAGTGGTTTATAATCTATGCACCCCTCCCTTAACAGTAAACAAATGTAAACAAACGCCACCATGTTTTTCAGTGCAATTTCAAGACTATTATCTCCATTTAAAGACTTCTGTGCAACTGCAACCCAATCAGACTGGAAAACTCCCTCAAAGTCATTTGTTCTCATTGAAGTTCCGTTGATATATATCTGTTCATTCTGAGGTCTGATTAAAAATATCCCCAATCAATCATTAGGAGTCATTATGCTGCTCTCTCTTGAGCTTTATTGAGAGTGTTGTTTAAAACTTTCCTTGACATTAATTATAGCAATGATTTTTTTGAGTCCTAAAATATTCAGTGTAGTCTCAGACTTTTCATATCTATAAAGAGGGGTCAAATGTATGAAGCCACAGTGAAAATCTGGATTCAAAGATTTAGCAAATATCAAAACAAGTATTGTGGATTGTTTCCACACCACTGTCTCTTTCGCTGTTGGTGGCAAAGAAACTTGTAATAAATCAAATAACTGTGAGGTTTTGAGTAAAAATCCACTTACACAAATGAGTGCTTATAACATATATATATATATATCGGACGGACAGACAGACAGACAGACAGACAGACAGACAGATAGATAGATAGATAGATAGATAGATAAAGTGTCGATATATACTTAAAATATAATGTAAATATAAACTTTATTAATTATTTGTGAGTTATGTTGTTATATTAGGTCAGTTTTCACAATAAAACCTGCCATTAAAAACTACACGTTTCAGCTAATTTTATATAGTAACTGAAACAATGTAGAAGGAGAGAAAGAATTTTAATTGACATTTATAGAATGTTATTTTAAATATACATTTTTCTTTATTTTTCCATATTTGTTTTATAATGTTAATAAATTATTTCATATTTCATACATGATTAAACGTTTATTCAAATATTAATATTTTTCTATGTTTTTATATTTATTTTACTGTTTATATTTTGCTGCAGGTTCCATTATTCCAACATATGTTGTGACAACATGCCCCATTACATTTACATTACTTCGCTATGAATGGAAGGAGAGAGACTGGTCTGTAGCTATCTGTAGCCATTACTGTTCAAAAGGTCAGTGTGTGCTCAAGAATGTTTTCCTGAGCAATAACCTTCAATGCAGTCTCGAAGTTGTTGGATTTTCATTAATAATCCTGAGAAAACTGGGGTGAACAGAGTGAAAACTAACCCTATAGTCTCCTCTATGTGGCGATACTGAATTAATATTATTAGTATTAATATTATAATATTATTATAAATATTAATAGTGCTGTTAGTTGCTGCATGACTTCTGTACTGTAATGTTTTTTCCCCCTACGTATCTGTGTGTATATATGACATTTCCATATTAGTTATATATTACATATTAGTTATAATAAATAAATAAATGTTCAGATCTTCTAATGTAAATATTCAGATGTTAAACCATTTTCTTTGTTGTCTTAATGCTTTGGCAATACAAAATGTATTTTTGTCATGCCAATGAAGCTATTTAAATTGAATTGAGAGAGAGGGAGATTTTTTTTATTTTTTACAATCACTTTTTTAAAAACAATTATTTTAGCAATTAACACAAACCATTATATTACTATCTTAGCTCGTGTATAAAAAAATTACTCCTCATTAAGTACATAACACAAGCCAACATCACAACACCATTCAATCTTAAAAACATTAATTGCATTCATCAATTTGTCATGTGTGTGTGTGTGTGTGTGTGTGTGTGTGTGTGTGTGACAGAGTAGAGAACGAGTCTGAAGAAGCCAGGAACAGTTCGTCAAGCAGCTCCGCGGATCTGGTGTTTGTTTCTGTTTCTTCCACAAACCTGACGCAGAAGAACGCATCCGTGAGCAGACAATGATGACTGCATCTGTGAGCAGGTAACGCGTTGGGCTTTTGGGCACCTTTCTGACTTGTGCGCATCATTGTATCGGATGGAGAGACGTTAAGTGTGCATTGAGTCTCCTGCTCTTGCCGCTGGCCACGGATTCGAGTCTGGCTCGATCACAACCACGAGAACTACAGTAGACCGTTCCTGCTGGACTGGGCGGCTGCGGATATACAAATACATATTCATAAACACTAATAAAGACATAAATGTATGCATGTTTCTTATAGGCTATACGTCAACAATCCTAAAGGAATACTAATGCTATGTAGCCTATCGTAATTTCGAATGGATCATAATTGGCTCAAAGAAGCAAAATACGGTTACAGCACATTTCTTCATGTGAGGCTAAGGGAGCCTATGTTTATGAAAGTTTGAATCTTGAAATTTCCCAAACGTAGCTAGCCTATGCAGTAAGTTTTGATTAGAGCATTTTAATATCATCTTCTAAATTACTTTAAAGCATGATTTATACGTTTTTCGACACATTTTTTTAAATAAGTAATTAAAAGTGGAAGGGAAAAGTCGCACTCGCAGCAGGTTGTGACTGGGTTGTTTTGCATCCAATTTAAGGCCGTTTTCGATTTCATTTGAATGAAGTGGTTCGAATTCTGATCCGAACATTCCTTTCGGATTATTTGGCGCGTTTAAACTCTTGTTTGGGGACGCAGGTTTCTCCAGTAGTTGGTGAAAAACGTGGCCAGAGGCGGGGGGTCTTGAGCGCGCTGGGACTCTGTAGTTCTGGCCCGATGCTGTGCTTATGGTTTCCGTGGCGCGCCGCTTTAACTCACATCTGTGATTACGGGTCTGCGGCGGCACTCAAAATGTCATGCATCATTTTACACTGTTCTGAAATACTAATAGTAAACCGCAGATGATGTGGAAACTCATCAGGCAGACAAACGTTATTGGTACAAACAAGCCTCGCGTTCTCTTGAGACAGATTGCTTAAGTGTTTGGGTGCTGTAGAACAGGGATTTTGAAATTAACCCATTGTGTTCACTATAAAATGACTTCATTAATACAACACATACAGATGTTGCTCTAAGCGGTCATGCACTTTCAGAAACTTGATGGCTGTTATCCAGGAGAGTAGCCTAACATTGTTTCTGTTTGGGGTCGATTTGGCCCCAATAACGTGAAAAATACAACACACTTGATATTTCTAATCCAGGTTTATTCTTAAACTGAGTACACATAATTTTGTTCAGTGTTTTATGCTGTTCAACTGTTACTTTGAGTTAGTAATTAATCATTTTGAAATGGTTTATCAAGACTTATTTGTGGAACCATTACAAGCATACTAGTCAATAAAAAGTGAATATTGAGTAAATATTCTGAATATGTAAATGTCATGGTTTCCATAATCAGATTGAGCCAATATTCTGGTTTCTTGAAATCTGAATAAAACAGCTGAAATATGTAGTTGTACTGTTTATTCATAACTGAACATTCCTTTATATTTGCACATGTCCAAACAATTCTGTTGTAATTCTGTACAAATGTTTTTATTAACCAACATTTTAAAGACTTACACAGAATCATTGGGAAATGATGTGCCTGTAAACACCATAATTAACTGCTTGTCCAGTGTCGTCATATTAATCTGCTCATACATAACACCATCTATTTAATTCCATGATTAATGCTTTTGCAGTCACTTAATGGGTTAAACACTGAGACACTTATTTATGAGTTGTCTGTTGCTAAACAGTTTCACACTGTACTGTATATCCTTGGCACCACAATTCAGGGTTAGCACTGTTTCGCTTTGCTTCATAAACCAAGGTTAAAAGTGATGCTAAGTGTGAAAAGTGGCTCAGAAGAGTTCTTACCCCAAGTTAAAGACACGTTCACACCAAGAAAGATAACTACAAAGTTAACTATAATCATAATTAGTGTCCATGCTAGTGCTCTGCATTGCTCTGTTTATTATAAGCACATGCTGCAGTTGTGATGTGGACTTCTCTATTCTCAGAATTAGAACAATAATTAAAACTTTATACTGCTTATCATTAACGTTATCATCCTTGGTGAAAACAGGCCTTAAGCAAAGTTACTATGTATAATGTGAAATTTTGACCTGACCATTCTGGATTAATTGATTGCTAACTCAGAATAAAGAACAAGATAATCCAAGATTACTTTTACCCAAGGAAAATATCGTTTAACCATTTCAGGTGTGTTTTATACCTGGGGCCTCAAACAGAAGTAACCTAGCATTTGGAATTTTGTTTAAAATCAGTTTTCTTAAAATTAGGACAAGACATATCAACAAGACCCAATGTGAAGTATTTTTACTATGAAAAGCCGCCAACCAGAACCTTAGCATGTGGGTTAAAGGCGTTGCATTATGAATGTGGTTGATATGGGAATGTTTTGAGGATAAGTCATATCCAGAGGAACTGCCAGGGTGGGGAACGGCCTGTCAGGAGGAATTCTGGGAAAGCTATTGGGAAGTATTTGTATTCATCAGCTTGTTAACGCATTTTCCTAATTGTCCAGAGATTAATCTAATCAGCCTCTTGTAGACCATAGATATTATAATTTACAGCGCTCATCGTGTGTTAATATAGCGGCTCATTATCACAGTATAATTTAATATCACAACATGATTAAACTGAAATTGAACTCTTCTTCTTCTAAATGCTCATCTTCATGTGTGTTTGCCCTCTTCCTCGCAGATTGTGTGCATTTTGGTGTTGTGTGTTTGCTGTCCTGTCCTTAACAACAGCTGAGGAAGCAGAGAAGCCGGTGAGTGATGATGAAGGAGATGATGAAGATTTTACATGTGCATACTCTACTATTAGAGAGAAGTGCTTGACAGAGTGTTGCCATATGTTTGTGGACCAGCTGAATGGGTCTTCTGTGGCTCTGAGAGAAGTGCAGATAAACTGCTGGATCTGACCATTAAATCAGGCCGCATGAGCTGATCTTTCCATTGTTTGGTCATCTGGCCTCTGATGTGGGGTTGTCCTTTGGGAGCATGTGAGATGTGGCTGTGATTGGGCGTTGGTGTGAAAAAATCACACTCACATGTAAGCAAGTGAGCAGTTATGCACATGTTCTGAGTAAGCACACACTCACACACACACACACACACACACACACACAGACACACACACGCACTCACACACACTCACACACACAGGGTGAGGACCACCAGAGTTACAGGAGGAGCTGCAGTGGCAGACTCTCGCTGAGAGTTTGATGTGCATGTGTAGTTTGTACAGCACACTGTTATGCTCTATTTCAACAACAGTTTATTGTAGAAATACTCAAAGACAAATGCCATAGAAAACTAGAAATGAGTTTGTTGTTTTTCCTTGCATTTCAAACAGCGCTGCATGCTAGATGTTATAACAGGCAGGAAATCACACACATGCACAGATTATACTGGCTTCTGCAGCCAATGCAGCTCCAAAAACAATCTGTCTGTCTGTCTGTCTGTCATCCGTCTATCCGTCTGTCCGTCTGTCCGTCCGTCCATCTGTCTATCTATCTGTCTATCTATCTGTCCATCCATCCATCCATCCATCCATCCATCCTTCCATCCATCCATCTATCTCTAAAAAATTGCTGGATTAAAAAACTACCCAGTAGTTTTATTTAACTCAACTATTGCTTAAACATTATTATATGGCTGGTTTAAAATGAACCTAAAATAGGTTGTAAATTAAAAATCAGACGCGTAATTACTAGAGGCATCAGCAATAATCAAAAGGTGAACATTTATTAATAAGCAATTTAATTTTTTGTATTATTTAGGCTAATTATTATTTATAACATTAATAAATGTTCATTTATTGAACATATTAATAAATGTTCATTTAACCTATTTTGGGTTCATTTTAAGCAAGAAATATAATAATTTTTAAGCAATAGTTGAGTTAAACAAAACTTAAACATTTAACCTAACCGCTGGGTTTGTCCATATTTCACCCAGTGCTGTGTTGTTTTTAACCCAGCATATTTTAGAGTGTATCCTTCTGTCTTTCTATCAGTGCATCTCACCTGCATTACACACACACACACACACACACACACACACACACACACACACACACACACACTCACACA